CTTTCTTCTCTTTGTGACGTCAGATTATCCTTTCTTCTCTTTGTGACAGCAATACTAGAGTACATAGCAGGGACGTCGCACACGGTACGGTGGTCACTACGGTATTGACCGTACCACTATTTACCCCAAGTACCCCGTGGATCAATAAAATGGGCTCTAAATTCCCAAAATTTTCGGCTGAGCCATCCCTTCCCCACGAGTAAATTGTACTTCAGATGGCTGACCGTACCACAATAAAATACCTTCCGACGCCCCTGCATAGTTAACATGATACTGATCATCATACATGTAACAACGTACAGTGGACACCATGCACATGCACTGCTCACACAATGCACATGCACTGCTCACACCTACAGTTTCTTGTAGTACATGTAGTTGCATGCATGGCTTGCATGGCTTGCAACACCGAAGAATTTCCTGCAGGCTCAGTCAGCAGCAGCAACATCGTCACACTGATAACTACCAGTGTAGGGTTGAATGTGATTATGTCACAAGTCATGATATTATGACTTTCCAACAAATTGGTTCCACTTTTCCACTGGGTTTATTTGAGCCAAGGTGGTTAGGTGGTACAGGATGCCTATAGCAGCTACATGTTTGCGTTCTATACGTACTCGTGTATCCAGCATGTAGTAGTACAGGTGGAATCCTGATAATTCGAATAAGGCTTAATTCGAACATACCGCTTAATTAGAAGTTTTCCAGGACCGATTTCTGTCAATACGATTCCCACATAAAAAATTCTGATAATTCGAACCTCGAGCCGGACATGTCCGGTTAATTCGAAGTTCTACGGATTCCACTTCTATAGAATATGTGTGGGATTTGTGCTGATAATTCAAAGTTAGCAAAGCGTAATTCGAAGTTCACTGTACACTGTACTGGTCAGTTCAGTTTCCATGAGCAGGCTGTGCTGGTCAGTTCAGTATCCGTGAAATCTGTGTCTAAGGTCCATAGCGCAACTCTGCGTGACCATGGGAGCATTTTGACATACATATTGTGTTGTGGATTCATGTTTGGATAATTAGAATGTCCGGATAATTAGAAGTTTTTGCTGGCATTTGGAGGTTCGAATTATCAGGATTCCACCTGTAGTAATAATTATGTCTACTTTAGTGGCTCCAGCATTATCATACTCGCGGCGCATGCTCTTGCTCAACGGTCTTTCTGCAACCTACTTGTGCTGGCTGGTTGTGTGTGTGCATGGGTACTAGGACACAACGGTTTGTATGAGCGATGGGCCCCTCACCCAATGGTGTATTTCAGACCGCTTGATCACCCAAGTCACATTGAAGTGCACACACGTATGGGATAAACTGCTTGAACCCGGTGTCCTCCACCATACAAAAACTAGTCTTGAGTCTGCGACACCCAAGTAGCACGTTCGAGCCCTATCTATGTGCAGGGTTGATCGACAAAGTCCCACGACTTACAGTGATCCAGATTGCACAGCGGCATTGTTGTCGGTTGGAACCATATAGTCACTATCCACGACAGGTGCTGAGCTTGCTTCCTGTGCTTGCCTGTGAATTGAAAGGACAGCAAAGCCGACAATCAGGTATTGAAGGTTCCAGAAAAAGCAGGGGCATCGGAAGGTAATTTAAGGTGGTGCGGTCAGCCATCTGAGGTACAGTTTTACTTGTTGGGAGGTGTAGTGTATGTGCTGATGATACACTCATGAAAATGTTCGGAATTTAGATTCCAAGTCAGTGCTTTTGCATGATCCATGGGCTACCCGGGGGCAAAAATTGGTACGGTCAATACCGTAGTGACCGTAGCGTGTCCGACCCCCCCCCCCCCCCCCCCCCCTGAAAGGTCACAGCACCACTACACTTCAGATAATTTTAAAGTCTCGTAGCAAGTCCTAAATTAAAAATCGTTCGCAGGAATCATTTTCTGACAGTTCTTGTTACACTGTCCACGCATACCTATTCGGTGGTGGCACAAAGTTGTTGTCCTCAATGTCTTCGTACGCAGAGTCTCGCCAGGCAGTTGATTCGCTGATCGGCTGAGGCAGTTCCGACTTTCCTGTGACGACCCTACAAAGCAAGATAACAGTTGACAGGTGATGATTTTAGACAGATACTAGTATCAAGGTGCATCAACAAAGCTGAAGAGAGAGAGAGAGAGAGAGAGAGAGAGAGAGAGAGAGAGAGAGAGAGAGAGAGAGAGAGAGAGAGAGAGAGAGAGAGAGAGGGAGGGAGGGAGGGAGGGAGGGAGGGAGCAGGGCCGGAGGCTGCTTCCGCGGAGCGGCCGAAGGGCCATCTTAAAGGGGGGTCTGGGGGTCCTCCCCGCAGAAAATGTTTGGAATAGACCGATCCCCTTATTATTGTCTGGGTTCGAGCAAGGGGGCAACTCCGCAGTCGCGTGGGATCCTGCTGCACACACGCGACCAACCTCACCGCGGCTGTGCGTGACTTCTCGCATGCGAAGTGCAGAGCACACGAGATCTACATGCAGTGCAAGCCTGTCTACAAAAAAATGCCACAAGGACTTT